TAAATACTTTATATATATAAATATATATATATATATAGGCCTATATAATAGGTAGACAGTACTGAACAGCAGAGTAAGTGCGCTGCTATTTCATAGCGAGTATAAAACAGTTAAATGATTTGAATCATATGTTGTCAGTCTTTAATCTGAAGGGAAGGGCAGGCTGGTAACACGTCACAGAATGGGCGTGTTTCCTCGAGTTTGACAGTCTAGTGCACGCCAAACTATGAAGCGCTTTTTCCTTTTAATTTTCCAGTTTTTCTTTTCATCTGCAGCGGGAAAGTGACCAATTAAGCTAATATGGGGAATATCCTTGTCTGTGTAGTGCTTTATCGTTATTTCATCCTCTTGCGTTCCGCCCGTTAAGTTTTTTCCGCCAGTGGTTGTGAATTCACGACAAGTGTTTGCTGCTGAATAACACACTAACAATGACAAGTGTGAAGGCTTGGCCACTGCTTCTACTACCGCTTTCACTGGTCTCAATGGGGACAGGTAAGTTGGTTTTCCTTACCTTTGGCTTAAATTAACATGCGTTGAATGTTTGTTTTTAAACCCAGTCAGTCGCTCAACTTGAGAAAATGTCAGTACATTGAATTAATGCAGTTACTTGAACAGATGCTGCTAAACCGCGAGACAACCTTGGGTTGGGTTGATCTGTTACTTTGAATTGAGTTTTTTTTATGTTTTTAAATAGAATCTCGAAAGTTAATACTAGTCAAGTCAAAATAGCATTCTGAAAACTGTATCAACGACAGATATTGGAACTTTCCTGTAGGTGGACCCACAATAAAATTGTCAAGTGCAAAAATGTAATTACTTCTAATAAAAATAAAATGCTTTAAAAGGGGAAAGTACTGCCGAAATGTTGAGGGTGTAAGTTTTTTTTGTTTTTTTTTAAGTTTCTTATGCTCACCAAGACTGCATTTATTTGATCAAAAAGACAGTAATTGTGAAATATCATTACAATTTAAAATAACTTTTCTATTTGAATAGATTTGAAATTAAATCTTCCTCTGATGGCAAAGCTTGAAAACAATTCTGCTGCTTAATATTTTTGTGGAAACCGTGATACTTTTTAAAAGGATTATTTGATGAAATTTCAAAAGAACGGCATTTATTTGAAATGTCTTTCCTGTCACTTTTGATCAAATGAATGTGTCCTGAAAGTATTTATTTCTTTACACACACACACACACACACACACACACAAACAAATCTTACTGACCCTAAACTTTTGACTAAAATCTATTATTGTGGTTGTTTTAGCAGACTGTCCGTTTCCTGTTTTGAATGGCAAAATTATCTTGTCATCGGAATCCATACTGAAGAATAGCTTCCCAGACAATTCAGTAGCGTTTGTGGAATGTGCTAAAGGATATGTGAGAAAGGAAGGTTCGACTTCCATCACCTGCCTGAATGGGGTCTGGAGTGCTGTGGAATTAATCTGCAAAAGTAATTCACTTTTGACTTCTAAATTGGGATGTTCCCCTTAAAAGAAAAAGTATCAAGTATGTGTTATACTAAACTGCTGTTTGCTTTCATTTCAGAGATAGACTGTGGAGAACCTACACGTTCACCGCATATGAGCTATGTCATCTCAGATGGAACATTGTTTGGTGCCTACATAAAAACCATATGTGAGACGGGGTAAGGACTGTTGCGGCCTCTGCTGTCCATATTGCACTCATACTTGTAATTGACATTTTTTTTTTGTCTTTAATCCAGATATGATCTGGAAGGATCAAGCCACAGGCAATGTCTTGTTTCTGGCTGGAGTGGAAAGGCTGAATGTATATGTGAGTCCTCATCTTTGGATAGATCCATATCAGTGTTATTTTTATATTTTTGAGACATTATGATAGTTTTTATTAATATTTTAAATTAATTCAATACATTTTTATGTTTTCTGTTTTAATTTTAATTTTAAAGTTTTAGTCATTTTGATGTGTTTTCGTCATTTTTATTATTTTTTTTTTATATATATATATTTATATAGTTCTTAATTATTCTTTCAGTTTTAGTAATTTTAATACATCAAGTTCAACTAATTGAAAATGAAAACATTGCCTTGGCAACTTGCTGAAATAAAATACGTTTACATTTTAATTTAGTTCATGTGTATTTTATTTTGAGGAAAAAATGTTTTGCTTTTTTAATGATTTTACTTTACTGTAATAACCCTGATGAACGTTCAGTATCAACATCAGTGTTGTCCAGAGCAACTTCAGTCAGAGATGTTGTAACAGCTTCTCTTTCACCGTGTCTTTTATAGTGACAACATGCAATTTGCCAGATCCAATTGAACATGGCAAGATGAGTGCGCCCAGAGACAAACCTGAGTTTAATGATGTCATTACATTTTCCTGCGATGATAACTACATCCTTGTTGGAAACAGCTTCATTACATGTGGTGAATACGGGGATTATAGTTCACCACCTCCGAAATGCATAGGTCAGTTTTTAAAACTAAAGTTTTTACTCCAGTAAATTCCAAGCGTAAAATTAATCACATTCATTTTTTGTACTAATTAGCTGCATTGAATGACAGTGGGAAGCTCCACCCACAAACAATATCATTGGTCCAGCATCTAGCTCCACACATTGTTGATGTGTATAGAGTGCAGCAGTCTTCAAGATCTGACCCGTGATCAGTCTGAGCATGTATTATTTTGGACTCAATCACCATTGTTGCAGCACCATCAGGGCACAGCATGTTAGAACTGGTGGAGTTCAGCCTGATGAACTCATCCTGCTATTCTTGCACAGCATAGTTGCATTGCATTGCCCTTTCGCTTTATTGTATTTTATTTTTTTGTCCCCTAATTGATCTGTTTATTTATGTTCGCTCGCATCTCAAGGTAACCTTCTACCTTCAGGCCTTTTGTGATTTATGGATTTTTTATGAAGTGATCTGTAATAGGGAGTCTTCAGTGACTCACTGCTCCCGGTCTGTGAGTCCAAGCCCTACAGAATCATCTCAGCCTCATGTTTCCACTTCATCATAGTCCTGGTGGTGTCAGGCAGTTGTAGAATGATGTTTCTAGGGAGGAGATGTATCATTCTGTGGAACCATCATGGTGCAGATTGGGGAGTATCAGATAGCTGCGTCTGGCAGTGCTGGAAGAACTTTATACAAAATGCAGTAAAACATGAGTTGGAGTGTTAATAGTGAGAAGAGTAAATTGAACCAATCACTTTTAAGTTTCATTAGCCAAAGTGCAGAACCTTTTTTGTTTTCTAATTTAATGTTTACTTAAAAAAAAAAAAAAAAGCTTAATTAAAATCATTACATTGGAATAATAATAAATGGCATGTGTTATAATAAACACTTATTTTATGACAGTCTGAATATACAGTATATATGCTCAGTTTTGTGATCAAATGGCTTATTAATTTTTTTTTTACATTATATATATATATATATACAGTGGGTACGGAAAGTATTCAGACCCCCTTAAATTTTTCACTCTTTGTTATATTGCAGCCATTTGCTAAAATCATTTAAGTTAATTTTTTTTCCTCATTAATGTACACACAGCACCCCATATTGACAGAAAAACACAGAATTGTTGACATCTTTGCAGATTTATTAAAAAAGAAAAACTCAAATATCACATGGTCCTAAGTATTCAGACCCCTTGCTCAGTATTTAGTAGAAGCACCCTTTTGATCCAATACAGCCATGAGTCTTTTTGGGAAAGATACAACAAGTTTTTCACACCTGGATTTGGCGATCCTCTGCCATTCCGTAACCTATAAGTACATATATATATATATATATAAAGTACACCTGATATTGAACAACTGATTAATTTTTAAAAAATCGAATATATCTATAAAAATATTGCTCAAACCAATCATCTGTCTGTTATTTCAGTAATGGTTAAAGCAGACATTTTTCTGTAAATGTTTCTTTCCAGGGAAACATTCTTTTATAGTCTTGGATTATAAAATGCTTTGGAATCTTGTTTTGAATTTTTATTGGGTTCACTTAACATTACTGAAATGCCATGCATGCTGCAGTGTGCCAGATGTCTTGAGATGTGGTTTCAGTACTATATTTTGCATATTACAATCTGCCAGTATTTACTTCTTAACAAAAACATTTTCCTTTTGTTTAGCTTTTTCATGTTTTATCAACTTTAATCAAGTTTCCTTTCTATTCCCAGCTATTGAATGTCCAGTTCCTGAAATTAGTTTCAGTACCCAGACTGAAGGAAATCCTCCGTACTCTTTTAAATGTGAAGCCACGTTTGAATGCTGGCCAGGTTACAGGATGAAAGGTTTAGCTACATCAGTGTGTGAAAAGAGTGGCTGGTTTTTCCCTGACTGGGCTGTTATATGACTAAGAATGTTTCAGAACTCAGAATGCATGAAACTATTGCAGAAGCACTGCATTTTAATCACTATCCAAACAAAGATGCTGCATAAGCAGTTTTTGATTTAAATTAGATTGTAACATTTTACAATTTAAAGCAAAAACAGAATGGTCTGACTTTAGCTTTGTGAAACTATACTACATAAAACATCTGCATGAAACAAAAACAGCAGATGGTCTGAATGAGAACTCAGATTCACTCTCTGCCAGCAGGTGTAAACCGCAGGTGTTTACTGCTGTAAACAAAGCAGCGCTGCGCTTATAAACACTACTGTAATATGCATTATACAGAAGCAAGATGAAATGAAAATACCATCTAAACGTTTCTAAAGACAGTCAGTTCCCCTCAGAAATACATTCATATACAGTAAACCCCCACTCCCAGTTCAGTATTTAATATAATAAAATATGAAACAAATTTATGAATGATGGGCGTTCCAGTTCTTCAGAAATCTGTGGATCTTTCTCCAGTGGTTTAGCATTCCATATACATTATGTTCAAATCAACATGTGGAATGTTGAATTGGAGAAGATGGCAAAAGCAGATAACAACGTATTCATATTTTTTTTTCAGCAATCACAACACCAACAAAAGAAAGCACTACCACAAACAAAGCCACAACAACAGACATGACAACAGACATGACAACAGCCTCAAGCCGTTCACATGGTAAGGAGTCCAGCACTTCCTGCATGAAACAAAAACAGCAGACGGTCTGAATGAGAATGCAAATTCACTCTCTGCCAGCAGGTGTAAACCACAGGTGTTTACCGCTGTAAACAAAGCAGCGCTGCGCTTATAAACACTACTGCAATATGCATTATACAGAGGCACGACGAAACGAAAATATCATCTAAACTCTCTTGAAAACAGTCAGTTCCTCTCAGAAATACATTAATATAAACCCCCACTCCCAGTTGGACTATAGCCCTAATGGACACTGTTCAGTGAAGCTACGTGAACACAAATAAATTGCAGCAGACGTGACTGAATATGAATGTGTGTTGATATCATAACAGTGTTAAAATATCGAAGCTGGAGTCTTTAGTCTTTCTAATGATACTTTGTCCAGATGAAGTAAGTGTGTGATGTTTTAATGTGCTGTGAATGTGAAACAACAGTAATCTGAAGCCGCCGTTGAACTTTGCAGGTTAAGTTAACAGTTAACTCTCAATTCACAAAGCTGTCTACGTTGCATAGGCACTTTGAACCGGTATATCGCCCAGCACTAGTAATAGATGGGAATTTATTTTCCAAGATGTGCATTCATGATATGAGTGATAAGTAGGCCTGTACAGAATCTGCAGCATTTCCTGTGCTGATTTCGAGGGAAACTCTGCTGCATTGTACTGATTTAAACATGGAAAAACATGTTAGATGGAGCTGAGAGTACTGCACTTGTACTGGTAGCTAAAAGCATCATCAAATTAGATACAATATGAAACTAATTTGATGATGATGGGCGTTCCAGTTCTTCAGAAATCTGTGGATCTTTCTCCAGTGGTTTAGCATTCCATATACAACCATATACATTCAAATCAACTGAATTGTCTAGATGTTTATGCAACATGTGGAATGTTGAATTGGAGAAGATGGCAAAAGCAGATAACAACGTATTCATTTTTTTTTTCAGCCATCACAACACCAACAAAAGAAAGCACTACTACAAACAAAGCCACAACAACAGACATGACAACAGACATGACAACAGCCTCCAGCCATTCACATGGTAAGGAGTCCAGCCCACAAAATCAAGGGTTTTTTTTTCTTCAGTTTTCACACTTGTTATGGATATGCTGTAATGGTTATTTGATGATGTATTTTATTGTAGGAGGACTTATAGAAGCGCTCACTACTGGCTTTATGAGTGAGTCATCCTTTAAATCCAATGATACTGTACTGAATTAAATGTCTGACTACATCACCCTCAGGGAAAGTAATATGGTTACTGTGGATGGAGGTGACTAGTTTGTCGTACAACATATGTCACCATATTATATAACAGTCAGTGATGATAATGGCTTATTTTGTCTTGCTCAAGTTCCAAATAAGAGAAGCGATCACTACTGTAACTGAGGGCCACCACATACTGTATCTATTGAATGTTTATTTCCTTTTGTTCATGTGTCTCACTGTTTCTAATAACACAACTGATCGTGTGGGTCTTGTAGGTGCTTCGGCAATTATAGCTGCTGTCTGTAAGTATATGAATTATTTGGATTGAGCTATGTACAGTATAGATAGTATAGTATATACCATTCATTTTGGGGTCAGTAAAAGTGTGTTTTAATGCTTTTTCATTTAATTTTATTCAGCAAGGATGCATTAAATTGATCAAAAGTGACTGTAAAGACTGTAAATAAATGCTGTTCTTTTGTACATTTTAGTAAGAATCCTATCACGGTTTCCACAAAAATATTAAGCAGCATTGTAGACTGGAGTAATGGCTGCTGAAAAAAATCAGATTTGCATCACAGGAATAAATTGCATTTTAAAATATTTAAAAATAGAAAACATAACAGTAAATTTGTAATAACATTTAACGATATATCAGTTTTTAATGCATTTAAAAAAATTATAAAAAAATGCAGCCTTGGTGAGCATAAACTTTCAACAATGTAAAAAAAACTTCTTTACCCCATACTTTTCATTGGTATGGTGTCATGCTTTGGTGTCATTGATTGTGATTCACAGCTGTTCTTGACCCTATTCCAAAGCATTTTTAAATAATATCTTCTTACTCTCATTCTTTACAGTGGGTGGGATTTCAGTATATCGTCATTTAAAATACAAAGGGTGAGTATATCTCTAAATCTGTCAGTTGATTTAAAGTCACTCTAGCGCAGCTGAGCTAAGCATGGCCAACTTTCACTCCACTTCAACTGCATGCTGCTGTACACATGCATTCCTCCACACATTAACATCATGTTTTCTCTTGTCTTTTCCTGGCAAGAATCTTTTTCCATCTTTTCATATGCTGTTGCTTCATGATGATGATGATGGACAAAAAATACACACACACACGTTGATTCATGTTTTTACTATCAATCAGAACTCTAGCTGTCCTTGTGCTTGATTTGTGGCTGTGACACACTTTTAATTGTTCAATTATTAGTTTGATTCTCTTGTACAATGACAGAGGAAGTGCTTTTGGACTAATAAAGCTTATACAGTAACATAGAAAATAAAGTGTGACCCACTGTACTGGTTTGAAGGAAGACGGTAAAAAATTAGGTAAAAAAAAAAACACATTTTAATTAAAAGGTGTGCTGTCACAAAGGAAAGGCTGGTCTGGTGCTTCTGGCAAAATGACAAAAATAGCTATGCAGAGCTAATGTCTGACCAGATACTAATTACATCCAAATAGCATGCAGAGCGGATGGCTAATTGAATATTAACAAAAAATGAATGTGTCCAATAAATAATGTATATTATAATGACTTTATCTCCTTGTTTGATAATGCTGCATAGTTCATACAATACTGGTGAAGAACTGCGGACAAAAGAAGAGTTATTGCTAAATCAAAGTGTTTAAACTCAAGGTATCCACCCATATCTAAATCTTCATTAGCTAAATATGATTTTTTTTCTGTTGTCATGACTTCATCTCAGACTAACACACTCATTAGTTGTGAGTTAGTTCTGGCATTAGTTGCAAAATAGTCTCAATTAATTATTCTTAATGTGTTATTGTGTCATGTTTATTGTCCTTAATGTGTTTTCTCTGGACTCTTAACCACAGGGCAAACAATCAGACGGCTCCTTTGCTTTAGCATTATTCCTGCACATGGATTCATTGAAGTTTAAACTTCATTGTATTTTATAAACTAGATTTTGTATTTATTTATAACTGCTACAAAATGTTTTGCTTTTTAGAAATATATTAGTTGATAAAAACACAAGATGATATTTTTGTATATTTGAATAAAGATTTTTTAAAAGTACTCTTTGGGTGTGTTTCTTTCCCCACAGCGTGACTAAATCCTGACCTCTGAATTTCCACATCTTGTTACCAAGAGCCCACCCAAAAGAATCTCTGGCATGTTTCCACTTGTGTGTTTTCACCTTTTAAAAGTGCAGTTTTAGGAAGACATTGGAAAGTGAGATATTGACAGTGTGCCACAGCCGGGTCAGATTTTCTGTGAGCATATGGTGACCGGAAACCTGATCCTAAATGAGCAAACGTTTCTAATGTGAGTTGTAATCATTTTTCACTGCCCTTTCAAAAGTATTCCTTTTACGTAAGCAGTAGACCACACAGCAATGTGGTTACCAGGACAATGGCAGAGAGAGTTGCTGCTATTCAAGCCAAATACTTCATCAACTGGAGAATCATTTTGACAATGTGCTCTATACAGAGACCTTGGCCAAACTCATGAAAGCAAAGAGAAACTAAAAACAATAAAAAAAAATAAAACCATAATGATCCATTCTTCTTACAGTTTTTTTTTAATCTATACATTTTTATTATTTTTTTTTTTTTAATTGCTAAAGATAAAAACTTACTGCTGGGGAAGTGTGGAAATGTGGGTGGTTGCTTTTTACCAAGTCAAGTGAATTGTTTTCACCCGTTTCATCTATTTCCTGGGTGAAAATTTTAAGTCGGGTCTCTTAGAAAGGTAATAACTTGCTTCTCGTAAACATTTTTGTATGGTTTGAGGTATCGTTCATGTGTGTAGCACAAACATTGTTATTACAAAGATATTGACGTGTAAAATTAAGTTTGTTTAATAAAATGTTAATATTGCATAAAAGGGTTTATGTATTACCTTAATAATAAAGGTTTTATAGTTGTTTTATAAGTTTGGTTGTAAGTGGATGATATAAATATGTGAATATTTAGTTACACAACAAGTTAATTTAACAAGTTAAGTAAATTTTCCTTATGGAGATGTAAAAAAAAAATCTAATTATTGTTTATTTATGTTTTGGTGGTGGGTATTATTAACACATAAGAAAAAGTGGAATGAAAAGAAAGAAGAAAAAATGGGGGAAAACAATTATATCCTTATAAAAGAAATGTTTATTGTATATTGAAGTCTGAAGTGTATTAAATATAAAAAACATAATATAATAAAAAGTTAGTGAACTTGCCAGCTGTGTAGAGATAGTTAACAGGACAATGTACCTTCACAAACTGCAAAGAATGTGGTGGTTTCTGAAGTTCTTATGGTGTCACTGACACTTTTTTGTTTTGCTGATCACATACAAGGCTATTCTAAGCTTTTAACTTGGAACAATGAACCCATTATCAAAGTTAAATCTTCTCAGTAGGTGTAGCTGTCTCGTAGTAACCCAGATCTTTTGTTCTATGCTTGAGTAAGCATCCTCATTTACTCCAGACTGTGCAACACTGCAGTCCGAGCGCCCATCTGGGAGGAGACGGTGAAGTGAAGAATTACAGAGAGAGATTTAACCATTAAAATCAGGCCAAATGGTGTGTAATCAAATATATTTAAGAATAGCACATATGTCATCATCTTGGAAAAGTCACATAGACTAGAACTGGAGATGATTCATTGTTTGGGTGGATGCTTGGCAGTAAATTGTTAATGAAAGGATATTGAATGGAGGCGTATTTACTCGTGCTGTGGTGGTACTAAACACAACCACAAGGAGTATGTCAGCTCTGACCAGAGCACTCTGACCAGTAACTGCTTTATTTACAGGGTCATCCAGTAGCAGGACATTTAATAAGATGCCCAGTTTATGCATAGACTCAACTTCTTGTTCAAACGGAAGGTTTTATGAGATTCAGTAGAGATATTTTGTTGTTGTTGTTGTTTTTTATGGTTCTCTTAAAATTATACAGCAATATAAAAGATCTTTTCCTGGCAGAAAGGAAATGCGCATCCTTGTTATTCATTCATTTGACCTAAGGTTATCCCAAAGAAGAAGGCAAGCGCTACTAGCATTTGTCATTGATGGATGCAGCACATTTCCTGGGCCTCAACCCCACAACAAGCTCACATTTAGTACAATATCCCTCATATTGTGGACAGACAAAAACTTGGGACTTTTTCAGATTAGATTTTAATGACACATACAAAAAAAAAACCCGTCTGTCTAAAGAAAAATTGGGATCTTTGTTGGTGCTGACTTGTAAACAGCAGCTAAAAACAGAATATGCTAAACAAGGGTTCTCAAAGCTGCATGGGATCATTTAGTGTTGGTCAATCAGCTGTGTCTACATTAGAATACATCCTGTTTTAATGGTGACCCTGATTTCACCAAGTACAACATGTTCCTGGATCAACATCCTTGTTGATCCTGGAACAACATTCCAATTAACCAATCACAATTAAGGGATAACTTTTCAGGAAATATCTGTTTTAGGCTTACGATCAGGGTTAGGTGCTTCTACACCCTTGTTAATCAGCTATCATTTCCCACTGATTTTAGGAATGAATTATGGGTAGGATTAGGTTTAGGGGTAGGGATTGGGTTTAGTCTATATTTTTGGACAGTAATGTCTTGGCAAAATCACGGCGACCCTGTTTTAATATAGCCATTAGACCATTAAATGCAATCATAGTAACTGGGAACAGTTACAGATGCTGGGAAAGTGATCACAAATTCAAAGTTATAAATGCGTATGAAGTCGTCTGGGCTTAGATTAGCTCTGATGCTCGCCTGGAGGAGTCGCCTATTTGAGGAGAAGCGTATTCATGCATGTCTGTTTTTGGAACCGTCTGTCTGAGCAGAGCGCGTTTTGAGGTCACACAGTGACATCTAGCGGTGAAGGACTGAAGGGGTGAGTTACGTGGCGAGTAGCGCCAAGATGACGTCACCAGTTCCTCCTGACCTGAACCGAGCTCGAGCAGATTTATTGGCCTTTAGTTGAATCTCCTCTTTCCCTGTGGAAAAGAATCGATAAATGGCCCGTTTCGCACACTGTAGTAGCGTCATTTAGAGTACATGGTGGAATAAAACACATATTCGGTTGACATTTGGACTTAAGTGTTGACCTTTTATATTAAACGTAGATGTAAGCTACATTCTTAAAATGATTGTACAACATTTGCCAAATGGTATGGCTGGTGCCGCAGTGGAGGTCCAGGGTCCAGAACAAGCTGGATGTATCAGGTAATGAACGTAAAGATATCTAACTAGTCACAGGAGCTGTAAACTTATCCTGACAGCAAACGGATAAATAAAACTCTTTCCAAGCAGGCGTTCCAAAAAGCTATTTCCGATTCGTGAGCGAGTCGGATCTTTTCGATGAATCGGTTGAACTGGTTTCATAAAATCTGTATGAATTATTCTTTCGGTTCACGCATCCGACTGAATCGGTCCGGACGTTTCTCGAGTCAGCAACTCACCCAGCTGACTCATCGATCCAGATGTCATGACTTATAAGAATCACTGAACCGGTTCTTTTGAAATGAAATGTAAGTAAGAACCGATTTTGGGAAATGATTCGAACTTTCCATCACTGCTTTTCCATTTTCAAACGGGTAGTTTCCTACCCAAACTCAGTCATTGGTTTAGATTGAAGCCGCTTCAGAAATTTCCGATAGGCCAGAACACAAGTATTATTTTAAGTATTTAAAAAGTGACAAAGTCTGCACGTTTCTGTAACACTGCTGTTCAGAAGGATTAACATACCACGGAAAGGTTACAACAGAGGCCCTATTAAGACTGTTATGTTGCCTGCTAATTGTAGCCTATTGGATTGGGAAAAAAAAAACTTGTAGCACTTAGTAAGAATAAATTAGTTTTATTTAATGTATAAAACGTATGCAAATCCGACATGCAAAGACATTGATCACAAACATTGCAGTAGTCAACACCATTTAGGTCTCCCATGTGATGTCAGGACCGACCCAAGAACACTGATTTCAAATGGTGCTAGATGCCATAAAGTACTCTATGGCACCATCTGAACTCAGCTTCCAGGAGCAGCATAGGAGGAGATGGCACTGGAAAACAAAGTACAACACAGACAAGATGCTACAGTACACGTACTATATAGCTTGTAAACCTCACATTCTGTCAAGATAGTTTGTTCTGATCCATACATTCTTTTAATAGGATTTATTTCTGTGCAACTATGTTAAAACGTGTTCCCTAAAAACAGGCCTGGGCAGTGTGTTTATGTGCTCCACTACTGCGTATACCCAAGAGTAGAGGTATTATGTTTGAACTACTGCAGACCTGAGTCAATAGAACGAGTACAAAAGAAAAATATAGGGAGTGACCAGGAGGGAGGGAGAGCATTTGTTTACAAGTTTCTTTTTCACTCAAGTACATCAGTTTATTCTTGGTTTGCTGCCTCTGTGCACCTGACAGCTTGTGTAATGCTGATCCAGTTCTTAAAGGGAAAGGCATCTTTATTGAGGCACAGAACCTGTGGAATAAACGGGGTGGAAAAGAGAGAGAGAGAAAATATTGCTGTGAATATACAGTCAGCAGATTGCAAATAGTTAAGGCATGCAGTATAGTGTGTGTGTGTGTGTGTGTGTGTGTGTGTGTGTGTGTATATATATATATATAATAATAATAATAATAATAATAATGTTAAAAAATTTCAATTTTAATACAAATACTAAAGCATATGATGAGCATAATGACTTAAACATTATAGAACATCATAATATGCCAGAAGGGTTTAAAATTAAAATACAATAAATAAATAATTAAATAATTAAATAAATAAAAATATAGTACACATAAACAGGCCTATTATGTATAAATTGTATAAGTCTTATACAAGTCTATATTACGTTTTATTAGTACATTTATGTATATAAAAAATGTGGCCAAAGTGATGATAATGACAGGCCTTCCACATAGTTAATCGCT